TCCCAACATTTCCATAAAATCACAATAGGCACAAATCATAGTCCAGTAAATCTCACAAATTCGTAAAAGAGTTTCACTTTTGAAAATCATAGTTTAAACCCTTTTCTGGTGCACCATCAGTAGTTCCCAAAATTATTTTCCATATAGCTTACTTTATGCACATAGCAAAAAGAAAACCGACTTAAGGATAGGCTATGAAGCTTGTATCCTTAAGCCCAACTCAATAAGTCCATATAGCTTACCCTAAGCACACAGCAAAGGAAAGCCGACCTAATGAAACATCTTGGGGCCCTCAAGAGTCACATTAGGCCCATTTAGGTTGATCAGAACTATTCCATCGTAATTCAATTCCAAAATTCAATTGCACCGTGACATAAATTCCATAAATCCAAAAACATGGTAATCATATACCATTTCAAAACAAAAATTAGATAGCAGCCATATTCCATAAATTTTCACATTAAATTGGTGCATCCATAAAACAATAACCAATGAATTCGGTGTACCACATATTAAAACCAATGAAACAGTTCAGTAATAAGTAGGGAACACACCTCGACAATAGGTTCAAATAGCAAATCTACTGATTGCTGGTTTTACCACGCTCTGCTACAGTTTTCGAACGGGTGAATACTGGCACACGTGGTTTAACTGATCTAGAAGAGCTGGGTCGAGCTGTCGAACGATCCGAAGAGTCTCTTGTACCTTCAAACAATAATAATTTATCAGTCACAAATCCTATTTAATTGTTCAAAGCTAAACTTCTTAAGTATATAAGTATTTTTCGGGTTTGACTGTCAATTTGGGGTATTTCGAGTCTGAATTTGGCCAAACGGATTACGGAATCGGAATCAGGACGTCGAAAAACATAAAGTATGAATTTCCGAAAATTCAAATTCTTGGTCAAAGTCAAAGTCAACCACTTTGACCGTCGATTTGGAGGCCTTCGGGTTCGAATTTGACGAAACGGACTTCGGAAACGGATTCGGGACGTCGAAAACTATCAGAATAGGTATACTCGGAAAAGATTAACGGTCGTTTAATGCTCGGTCAAAGCCATTTTAAGTTTTGGTCAAAGAAAGTCAACGGTCAACGGTCAACGGTCGGGTCGGGTCAACGGTCGGTTCGGGTCGGTCGGGTCAGGTCCGGTCAGACCGGTCAAAACGGTTCGAACCAGTCGAAACCGGTCAAACCGGTCAAAACTAGTTGAAAACCGGTCAAACCAGTTTCCAGCAACGTCCACTCTCCCTGCGGCGGCGCGTGTGGCGCGTGAGGCATCCTCCGGGGCCTTAAAAATCCCGAAAATTTTTTTAAAAATTATTTTGAGCGATTTCGAGATACTTACAACGATCGGTTCAAATTTTTGAACGACGGAGAGCTCGATTTCAACTCGGCCAAATCTTTGACTGCTCCACCTCCTCACGCGCCACCGTCGACGGCGAACAAGGTTGACACCGGCGGACTCGAAACGACACAAGGAACACGATGGTGCAGGAGGTGTCGTAAACGGAGCAACGATCGGCGGTGAATTTAAGATTTTCCCGGCGATAGAGCTAACAAAAACGTCGAGACTTTGACTCGAAATTCACGGCGTTTCGTAGCGTTTCGCTATAATTGGTTTACTGGGCTTTGCTCACGAGTCAAAGATGAACACGATGGTGGTTTCAATTTGACAATCGGAGGTCAGACGACGTCGGAATCGGGCTTGAAAGTGGTGGTGCGGGAGAAAGGTAATATAAGCAAAACTGGATTCTGATTTTTTTTTGAAATCAGAAACGCTTTTAAAACAATGTTGCCGACACTCTTTGGAGGAATTCAGGGCTTGGTCCCTTAATTTCCTTCAACTTCTAAAATGGACATCAAGTTTTCAAAACTTTTAATTTAGTCACCAAATTTATCAATTTTTACAATTTACCTCCAATTTCAATTAATATTATTTTGTAAATATTCGGGTTGTTACATTCTGTCTAAAGAAAGTGGATTTTAAGAGGGACCATTGTGACCCCTCCTCTTTCCTGAGAATCTACCTTGGGGTGATTTTTAGTACAATCGTTTTCACACTAGTCACCTAGATAATAGTTTTCAAGGTGAATTTGTTATTATTGGTGGAAATTAACCAGAATTCCACAACACTAGGTAACCTTGTTTGCATCCGAGAATATTTCAACTTTTCTTAAAAATGAGGCCATGTTCGGATGTCATCTTGAGATGCTTCAAGATTCTGTTTACTACTTCAAGGTGCTTCTCCTTAGGATTATTCATGTATTGACTTGCAACACTTATTGAAAAGGTAATGTCTGGTCTTGTAAGGGATAGGTAGATTACTTTTTAAATTAACCTTTGACATTTCTCTTTATTCACCAGAGAATCCAGATCATATTTCCTTAACTTTAGGTTGGATTCCATATGAATTTCATTTAATTTGCATCCCAACATTCTAGTTTCGAATAAAAGTTAAAAAATATATATTTTCTTTGGGTGATTACAATTCATGCTTTCGATCTTGTAGCTTCCATCCCAAAAAATATCTATGATAGCCAAGATCTATAGTTTCAAATTCACTTGACAACAACCTCTTCAACATGTTGATCTCTTGAACGCCGTCACCTTTAAGAGTTATGTTATTTACATAGACAATTAAGTGGTGAGATTTCTGTGAAGAATTTATGATATGTTTGTAGCCATTTTTACAATAACTTTAGTGAATCTATCAAACTAGGTTTTCAGAGATTGTTTTGAATCATACAAAGACTTTTGTAGTTTGCATATCTTGTGATTAACTGGTTTTTCATTCAAACCTGGAGGAATCTACATGAGTACTTGTTCTGCCATGTTTTCATTTAAGAAAAAGATTTGATGTCTAGCTGATGAAGAAGTCAGCCTTTATTTACGACAAAGGATAACAAGGTTCTTATTGTATTTAATTTAGCCATTGGTGCAAAAGTTTCCTGATAATTCCATAGGCTTGTAAGAATCCATTTGTTACCAAATCTTACTTTGAATCTCTCTACTCTCCCATCCGAGTTGTATTTAACCACAAAGACCCATTTACAACCCATCATTTTCTTTCATAGTGGCGACTCAATTAGAATCCAAGTGTTGTTGCTTTCTAGGGGCTTTACATCTTCCTCAATCGCTTTTTTCCACCTAGGATCCTTTAGAGCCTCACTTATTGACCGTGGAACCTAATTACTGTCAATTTTAGTAGTGAAATTTCCAAGAAGACATTAATTTCCCATATGCAACATATCTCTGTATAGGAATACTTGTATATTTTCTTACCCATTTCCTTGAAGAAATAGGCAAATCAAAATTATCCACAAAAGAATCAAATTACGAGAGAACTCCACACCTTCACCATATTTCGAGGCAACTAAATTTGGTTCCGGTTCTTGATCTGTCCCAAGTTATGTAATTTCTTCAAGGATTGGCTTTTTCCTCCTTGTATAGACACACAATTCTTTTTCTTTCAAGTTGGTTCTTTGAAGGAATTTAAGTTCTTTGTGGAGCTTTCGAGGAAGGAGTAAAGTTCTTTGTAGAAGTGTAGGGTCATTGTTGGGTAAGAAAGTATATAGAATTTGTTGAAGATTATAAAAAAAAAATCATCTAAAAATCTCCTGAATTTCAGATTTGAAGAAATATGATTTATATTAAAAGAATGTGAACCCATGGAGATAATATGTTATCCTTGTGTAGACTTGTAACCCTTCTTAGTAGGTGAATAACCAATAGACACATTTAATAAATCTAGGATCTAGTTTGATTCGAAACTATTAGTGAATATGCACAAAGGTTGAGCACCCAAGCATTTTCAAGGGAAGATTGGAGGAAATAGGTTTAAAGTGTAGGAATTTTCCAAAAGACATCTCTCAACCTTTGAAATTTTAAGATTCTACTATACTTCCTATCAATAAGGTAAGTGATAGTAAGAATTGTTTCTCCCAGAAATATTTTGGGACAATGATAGAAATAATAAGTAAGAACCTTACCACTTCTAGGATATGTTTATTTTTCTTTTCGATTTATTGAGGTGTGTTAACACATAAGTTAATCTGAACACCTCCTCTCTCCTTAAAGTAGGAACCTAAGGCTTTGGTGAAATACTCACTCTTATTATCGATTTTGAGGTTTTAAATATTACGTTGGAACTGACTCTCAATCATTTTTGAAAAGTGTTTAAGGATCTCCGAGTCCAGCATCTGAAATTCACAGAATTTGAATAAAATTTAGTAGACCATCTTAAATCATTGGACAGTTTGCTAACAAACACAAAGTTGCACAAATTAAGAACAAAAAGAATAAAGTTCAAAGTTATATCTCTATTTATTGGAATAATGCAAACCCCTTCAATGAAAAATAAAGAACCATCAACTTCTCGCACATGGGACTTTTGATGAAGCTGTGTGAAACTTCAAAATAGACTTATATCACCTCTTATATGGTTAAAAGCCCCATAATTGACTATCCAAGTGATGAAATTGTTGTTACTAGAAGTATATGCAAAAGAAAGACTACCTCCATTTATTGCAACGACTATTGTTTGACCATTGGTTACTGTCATTTGGCTAAAGTTGTCGGTTAGGATAGTTTAGGAGGGATTTTGATCAGAATACAAATTGATTTTAGAGTTTGTTTTCATTTTTTTAGATTTTGCGAATTGTCAAAATCGGAAGTAGGTATTCTGGAAAAGAGAATTCTGATTCATTCTCTATTTTTCAGATGATAAATTATATAAAAAAACTTATTTATAGACTGAGTACAAAGGTTAAGTGCATAGAAATTTACTCGGACTAGAACACGTTCTTATCTTTACTTTAGATAAGTCTTACTATAAATAGGATAAAACTTAAACTACATCTAAACTACTAATTTCTCAATACAATAAAATACAATATTAACAATAGATATTTACAATATTTAAATCTGCATGTACATAAATTCAATGTGATCTTGTTATACAGATTACACGTATTGATGTTGGATTGTTTTTTTTAAATCAGCATGAAATCTATTATTGAACGCTACAACAAGGTTAAAGAAGAACATCATCCATTATTGAATCCCGATTCCCAAATCAAGGTAAATTTCCCCTTCAATTTAATTCCACATATTTTATCTTGTCTAATAATGATCTCTTCTATAACATGTATATATTATTGTTAGAATTATTAAGGCTCTATGGATCAATCGAAATAAGTCAAAAGTGGGTGAATTGGCCTTTTAAAAATCTTGGTGTTGGAGCAAAGAAATATAGACAATTTACACAACAATTTATAATGATTTAACTTTCCAACGAAGTCCACATCCACTACCTTAGCACCCACACTAAGGATTTCTAACAAATTTACTAATTTATTCTCACCTTTTCAAGAATTGTAACCTTTACAACTCTATAGTTTTTCTCAAAGACTAAACTAGAACCTCTCTCATTTTACAAAGATTTACTTTGTGTAAACAAGACTTCTCAAGATAGGTGTTTACAAATTTGATCTCACAAATAATCAAATAAAAAACATACAATAAAGCTCAATACACTATATACAAGAGAAATAAAAAATAAAGAATATAGATTTTTTTCTCTTGATCTTTAAGCTTGGATAGGTGTAATAACCTTCTTCAAGTATTCTTAGAGTGTTTAATATATTGCAATGAGTTTCTAGCCGTTCAGAGCTGTTAGGATTGAATTTTAATCGTCAGGTAGTTAATTTCAACATCAAAATATGCTCAAATAAAGTGATATCGGTACTCCTCCTTGCATTATCGATATTACTTGTGTCAAACTAAAAAATCTAGTCATTGGAGAAGTTGGAGTATTGGTACTTATACCTAATAGTATTAGTACTACTATTATAAGTAGTATCGATACTCTCAGGAGGATCAATACTAGCTTCGTATTTTGAAACTTGAACAACTTTAAAAATAAATGGTGATATCGATACTACCAAGAGAGCATCGATACTACTCATAAGAGTAGTATCAATACTTTTCATGCAATATTAATACTTCAAGAACAATATCGGTACTACTTACTCAAGAAAAACATTTTTGTGCTCAAATTCACATTTTAAAGTGCAAAAATGATTAAGAAAATGTTTGAAAACATTTGACAAAATAGAAACACATTTGAAATATATTTTTCAAGTTTATTTGGAATTTGGATTATTTTTAAAATATTTGAACAAATTCAATTAAGTTTAAAAAATATTTTATCTTTAGTTGTTATATCAAAAATATAAATTCATCCCTCTTTTTTGTTATATAAAAAATAATTCAATAATAGAAAATATATTAAGTAAAAATAAATAGTTCAAGTATAAAATCATTTTAAAAACAACTCTCCCTTAAAAAGACATTCCACGAAATATTTTAGCACAAAATCATTAGTACTTTAAAAAACTATTAAATTTCAACATAAAAAAGAGAAAACAAGTTAATAGCATATGAAATTCAATAAATCCAAGACTTTATAGATACTTTATGCAATAATAAGAGAACAATTTAATTACATCATAAAACACTCGATAATGTCATGCATTTAGCATGTATATCAATTGTTAATATGATACCATTTGAAAGTGTGAACATATGCATAAACATTTGAAGTTCTCTTACATATATACCTTTAAAAATAATTCCAATTGAAAAAGATTTTAAACATTATCATAACTGGCTACAACTTTAAAGTGATTCCAACGGTAAAAAATATTCAATAAATCAAGCAAGGATATCACTTGTTTTAAAAAATAATTTTCAATAAAGCACATTAAGGTCAAGGCATTTTAAAGAAATTGTTAAAAAAATATAAAAACTTAACTTGATCAAAAACATTATCATGAACTAACGTTGATAAAAAACATTTAATTTTAAAACATACCATCATAACACATTTTTACTATGCATGGGACAATAAAATAACACATAGTCATTCATGCTCAATACTCATGCATTAAACATAAAACACCATTAGACAACCATAAAGCATTATCAAGAGCTTTAAGTTTAGAGGTTACCCATATTTTATTTGTGTGATTAAAGCATTCAAATTTCTTTGCATTCCTCTTCATTGCCCCAACACACATACAAGAGACATTTACTTGATTTTTGGTACCCAAATTATTTTAATTCTTTGAGAATTAGTTCCAATGTCTCTAGTTCCTTTAGGAATACATACATATCCAATGATTTCCTTTTCTTTTGGTAAGCATCCAAGCTTGACTTTTAAATCGATTTTCTTTTTTTAAAATTCTTCAATTCTCATTTTTGAAAACTCTAAATCTTTTCTCAAAATATTATGATTTTTAAAATCAAATCATTTTTAATTTTAAATTTAGAAACTAATTTCTTGTATTTAAAATTCATGGTCTCAAACTCTAAAAACAATTCAACATAAGCATCATGTAACTTATTAGAAGAATATGAATTAAATTCACTTGAATTAGAAGATACTTTGAATCTTCTTAAATGATCATGAGACAAAGATTGACTACATCATCATCTTCATTTTTGGAGACGTCCTCATCGCTCCAAGCAGTCACAAAGATCTTTTCTTTTTTTGCTAGATCCTTTCTTTCTTTAATAGGAACGATCATATTTGACATGTCTCGATCTTTGATATTCGAAACATATAGGGGGGCTCTCTTTGATTGATACTTCAATTTTTTCCTTTTTGATGTCATAAACGTTATAAATCTTTTAAATGGATTAATTATCTCTTCATCTTCATCCACCTCTTCACTAAAGTCGTCGTCGTCGTCATCATCGGTGAATTTAAAGGCCATATCTACCTTATTTCTTCTTTTTTTAGTTTACTTTTTTGAAGATTCATATCATGAGTGAAAAAAAAACCAATGAGCTCATCAAGAGTAAAATCTCCAAATCATCAGACATTTTCTTTCCTTCCCATGACATAAAAGAGTATTTTCACTAAATCTTCATTGGAATATCCCCCCCAACAAAAATTTCTTAAGCCCATTAATGATAGATGTAAATAAATCGGGCATCGTCTTAATGTCTTCATTGAACTTCATCATGAAGTTCTCCTAATGAGAGTGAGAATGTCAACTTTAGACTTCTTATTTGATTTGTTCCTTCATGAGTCACCTCAAACTTATCCCAAATTTCTTTGACACTTGAGCAAGATGAAACTCTACCATATTCATCTGATCCAAGTGCACAAAAGAGAATGTGTATGACTAAAATTGAGTTACGCTTACTTTCTATCTTCTTTTGTCCATTCTGATTTGTTCTTATGAGAAGTGTGAGAACCATCGATGATGACATCATACACCAAATAATCAGTAGTTTGAATAAACATCATCATATTCTTCTAATACGAGTAATTAGCACCATTGACGATGGAATCAAAGTCTTCAATATAGTACAAACCGAAAGTTGAAGTTATCTTATTGAAGCTAAAATTGCAAGAGCTCTTCAAAGATCCTCTCAAGAGGTTGTTAGAACTTAAAAGAGCCAACTTTGATACCAATTGTTGAGATTATTGAGACTCTATAGATCAATCGAAATAAACCAAAATAAAGAGTGAATTAACCTTTTAAAAATCTTGTTATAGAAGCAAAATTAGATAAACAATTTGCACAACGATTTATAATGATTCGACTTCTCAACTAAATATATGTTCACTACCTTAACATCTACACTAATAATTTCTAACAAATTCACTAATTTATTCTTACCTTTTCAAGGATAAGATGTAACATTTACAACTCTATAATTTTTCTCAAAAATTAAACTATAACCTTTCATTTTTACAAATATTAATTTTGTGTAAACAAAATCTCTCAAGATGGGGGCTTACAAATTTGAGCTCACAAACAATCAAATGAAAAAATATATAATAAAACTCAATACATTATATAAAAGAGAAAATGCACGAATAAAAAATGGAAACTCATTTTTCTTGACTTCAATACATTATATAAAAGAGAAAATGCACGAATAAAAAATGGAAACTCATTTTTCTTGACTTCAAGTGTGGATAGATGTAATATCCTTCTTCATGTGTTCTTGAAGTGTTTTTATATATTTAAATGTGTTTTCAACCGTTTGCAACAGATGGAGTTAAATTTTAACTGTTGAGTAGTTAATTTTAACATTGGAATCTGCCCAAACAATATAATATCAGTACTTCTCCTTGCAGTATCGAAAACCCAACCGTTAGAAAAGTTAAAAGTATCAATACTATTCCTAGTTGTGGCAATAGTACTGTTATAAGTAATATCAATACTCTTAGTAGTACTGACATCAATATTGCTTTCTGAAACTAGAATAACTTTGAAAACCAAGGGTAGAATCATTAATGTTAAGAGAGTATCGATACTACTCACAAGAATAGTATTAATACCACAAAAATAATATCAGTACTATTTATGCAACATTGATACTTTAAGAACAGTATTAAGAAAAACATTTTTGTGTTCAAATTAACACTTTAAAGTATAAAAATGATTAACAAAATATTTGAAAAGATTTACATGTAAAAAGACATTTGAAATATATTTTTTCTTTTGAAATATTTTAACAAATTCAATTAAGTCCAAAATTATTTTACCTAATATCAAAATATAAGTTCAATAATTATATTTCTTTTTATCTCCTCACTTTTGGTTACATACTAAAGACGTGTTACATTGCATTATATTATCAACATCTTGTGCATAATGGATTACAGGCTTAAAATCTGAGGTTTTAGCTTTGTTTCAATTGCTTTTCACCCTCCTCAGTCTAGGTTTAGAGGTTCTCAACATCGTACTAGAATTATAGTATTAAGTGCATAACAACCTACAAAACTCAAAACAAATAGGATGAACCATGCACTCCTAAAACCCACAATTCACATTTGAACTTTCTTGGAACCATGAAAACATTAAGATTGAGAAAATAAAGAACTTTATGATGCTGGAAGTTTTGTATAAACATCGTAGGTCCACAAATGAAAGTGGAAAAAACCTTGAAGAACCAAACAGATTGATAAGGGTAATAAACTGAGTTATGATCATGGTTAATTACCAAGTTTACCGCTAGAAAGTATCACAGAAAGGGAAAACGTGGCATTGTATCTTGTATGGGAACTGAAAGATAAAAGGGCAAGTGCGTATCCAGGCTAGTCATCTCAAACTTCAGCTATGAATTAGATAGCATCTCCAGTAAAGGATCTTGTAGCACCTATAAAGCAAGAAACGTTCCATGGGGGAAACTTCTCAACATAATGACAAATGAAAACCATCCAAGTGGACGAGTACATTACAGTCTAAAAACAATCATATCAACCATTCAAGATCAAAGGCAACATTGAAGATCTTAGAAACCGTCGCACAAAAGTTTTACAAGTCTAAACCCTGCAACCCATCACAGTCTCCTTGATAGTATATCGGTGCCACCAAATGACTATAAATTTGAATTTTCCTGACGTCATTCATGATTTTCTATGATATAGCAATACTAGAAGTCACAACTTTTCCATCAGTACAAGTTATTAGAACTACTGGGATAAATTTCAGAAACTATAATGCTAATGGCGGACATCCATACTAGAATTTCCTAGACAGATGTTGCACGCCAAAATATGAAGCCATGGAGTAAAAATTACAGCAATCACCAACCAGATGGCTCAATATTTGTAAGGGTCAACAGATATTGAGCACTTTTATCAAACAATATATACTTGATGGTGTTTGTAAATGGTTTTCAATAAAATCACACTCTCTTTTCAAATGGTAGATAAGTTTCCTTTGCCCCACTAAGATCCTTAAAACAGTTGTATACTCCCAGAAGTGACATTATAAACAAAAATCATAACCTCCATTTAGTGTATACAACGTCACAGTTGCTTTTCCAATGCATCCCAGGTTATGTCCAATAGACTCCACTACTTCTTCGAGCCAACTACCTTGTTTCCCAAAGCGTAAGCTGTCACCCTGAATATAAGGTAATAATTCTGTCATAAATTCAGCAAAATTGGCTACTAGTTACCTCAATAGGTTAATAGGCAATCACCACCAAGTTTCCTTGATTCGTATTATAGGATCAAGTATCCCTTTTTAGCCTCCAGTAAAAATTCATGAAGGCATAAAGAACTACACAACATGAACTCGTTAACAACTCAACTTTCACGAGATACATCTTGATTTATATTACTACTTCTGCACAATTCTACAATGCTACTCAATTTCATGAGGCATTACTTACAAGAAATTTGCTTTATGATATATCATGCTTCTGTGGACCGTCCAAGAGTAAGGCATATTGGAAGATAAAGCACTTAAAATCTAAATATAATTAATCATCAATTGTCTTCCTTATGAACGGTTAACAAGCTAATGTGGGAGAAAAGGAAATTGTATTGAGTAGCAATGTCAATATTCACATTCACCTACGAAATCATAGAAGAAAGTGAGAGTCATATAACCAATAAATGAAAGGGGAGAGGCATCAATATGCAAATGTCACAAAATGCCACTGCGTGCACACTAATGAGAATTGAAGGTCGGAACAAATGTCTTAACAAGAATTCTAGAAATTCTTTAACTTTGCTTTCCCTTCCTTTACCATCTTCTCTACCAAACAAAAGGAAACAAACTTGAGTTTCCTTCCTTTTCTTCATTCACCCATTGTTCAATTTTCTTTGTTTCATTTGCATTCTTCCCTCCAAAAGAGATACCAAATTTAAAATACTTGGTTGTTTAAGAAGCTTTGAGTCCATACATCAAATTTTCTCATAACTGAACTCTATTCAACTTTATTAGCATGAAATAAGAATCAAGCTAGCACTAGAGATTAAGCCTTCTAACAAAATAACTGAAAATTTAAGAGCAAGATTAAGCCTGCAAATGAGTATTAGGCCACTTAAATTTAACCTAGTTGCTATGTGAACCCAACAACAAAACAAGTTGAGCCTGCATAACTAAGTCCAATTAACTCATAACTGACATTGTTCTATGACATGTACTTCAGTATTTACATCACTAGTTTACAGTACCATACATCACATCTAAAAATATGCCTTGATTATTTAATAATTGAATTGTACTTGAATAGTTTTGGCAAATGGAGGCAGCAAGCTTGAGGCAACAACTACAGTACTTGCAAGAATATCACAGGTACTCAAAACATCCACTGTTTCATTGCTAATACACTTGGGAGATATTTGAACTTATAAATTCAATGCACTTAGCTAGTTTTGTACATGGTGTAATACTTTTTAACTTCATAAATTTGCTAAGAAATACATAATTCATGCTTACCTTGTTTAGAACTAAGTTTTTGGTAGTAACAAATTACTACGTTTCTCTTAGAACTAAGTTTCAATGTACGATTATGCTTACCTTGCTTAAAGATAAGTATAGGTTAAATAAGGATAAATCTAGGATTTATATTCAATGGGGACACATTATAACAAATGTTAAAAACAAACTATTGTATTCCTTGAGGTCCCGGGTTCGAGCACCATGAATATAAGGGATGTGAGCGATCAATGTCAAATGTTTGAGAGTTATCGTTGAATAGATACTACCTTATACTTACCCCAGATTAATCAATAAAAACAAACTATCTCCACTACAATCAATATTGTTATTTTTTCCTACATAAAATACATATTGGAAGCTTAATAAGTCTACTTATATATAATCAAACAATTAACCCACCCTTCAAAAATTGACAGTGTTTTTTTTTTTAATTTTAAAATATGTGGGTTATTTCTCTGCATACACCAAATAAATTTATAGTATAAAAATTTCAACTAATAAATCTATAGTATAAAAATTTCAACTACTAAACAAACAAATACTCTTACCATAATCACAAACTATCAAAATGCAAATAAGACAATTGTTCACTTGAAAGAAGAAAAAGGTGTTCCATCGACATTCTTCTTCAAAAGTTACTTGTCTTTCTTATTTTCTCTAAAGAGTATTCCTTTTTTTACTTCTGTTATGTTATGCAACTTTTTTTGAATTGGAAAAACAAGTGAGGTACATAGCAACTTTTGAGCTTAGTTTTCCATACCTTTCAAAAATCTCATATCAATAACAAAAAATTAATCATAAAATCTTTTATGTTTTACACATCATTACCTATTGTCTTCCAAACTCACCTATTTAACTATTTTTTTTATAATATGACAAAAGGGGCATTAGGATCCTAGTGGGACCAACTTCTAAAAATGAAGTCTTCTCTAGATCATAAAATATAACTTAAATACCATTTGACTGTGGTGTGTTGCAGGCAATTGATGGGAGAAGAACTATCTGATATGGGTGTTAAAGACCTACAGAACCTGGAAAACCAACTTGAAATGAGTTTGAAAGCTATCCGCACAAAAAAGGTATGACAACTTCAGATTTTCCCATCTCATATAACATGTATTTACTGCAACTGCTGTTATGTTATTTTTCCTTCTAGGACCAACTACTTACAGACGAGATCAAACAGCTAAACCACAAGGTTTTTTCCAAAGTTTTCTTTCCTTTCAGGTTTACATCAATAGATATCGTTTGATTGAGTAACTTCAATTTAATAAATTGCAGGGTCATCTCGTTCATCAGGAGAACCTAGAACTACATAACAAAGTAAACTTCATCCACCAAGAAAATGCTAAACTTCAGAAGAAGGTAGTTGACCTAGTAATTTGATATCCCTCATTCACTTTATACTTCCTCCTTTTACCTTATTTTTTGTGAAAAATTTTAAAAACTAGTACCACTAGGTCATACCACTAAAACAATGTTCAAATTCTTTTAGTATTCCTTGTACTATGCATAAGTTGTAGCCTTGTAGGTTTAATTACTACACTCCAATTTAGTCATTTTCACTCCCTATTTTAAAATTTCCACCCTTTCTTAAACTGTAGTCGTGAAATTTATTACATCAAATTATGCTATTAGTCTCTATACTATACATAAAATATAGATTTAGTTCCTATTCTCTAATTTGATCATTTGATCAATTTTAAGTCGCTATAATATTTAGTCATGTGGTCCCTGTACAGTTAGATTAAGACTAAAATTCATAAATTCAAAAAAACTAAAATTAACCAAATTAAAGTATAGAGATTAAATCCATAAGTTATGCACAGTAAAAGGACTAATTGAAGAATTTGACTTAAAATAATCTTGAAATTTAAGCAAGTGAATTTTCCTCCCAATATTCTACAAGAACACTGTTGGGTCTCAGGTTTACCGAACAAGGGATGCAAATGAAGCTGGCAGAAGCTCCCACCCAAACCATACTTTGAACAATATAAATGATTTGCACACATCTGTTCGTCTGCAATTAAGCCAGCCCCAGCCTCCCATAAATGATGAACTTGTAACCCCTCAGACCGATGCGGGTAACCAGATCCGATCTGGGGTGTAACATTTGGGCCACCGGAGCGACCCACTGTAAAAATAGCGGAAAATTTAAAACTTTTATTGAAACGTGTAACTTATAAAATCAGTTGTCGCTATTTAAAAATAAAACAGATTTCCAGAATCGTATATAAATCAAAATACAATTACATGCCTTCCTAATCACATGTACCATACTCTGCAACAACGCCGGAAGAACTCCCTTACTGAAGTCGATAGATGCACTGGTACAATTCTTTTAACCTGAAAAAGGTGAGCAATAGAGTGAGCTTCGAAAAGCTCAGTAATACAGAACTACCAGATGATGCTGAAGAACGTGCATATACAGATAAACATACATATCCTTATTATTTCCAAACATTTACAGATTTTTATGTTGAGCAGAGATCCTACTGATATTTCAGATGGTAACGGACAATGAGCTTTCAGTTCAGACAAATATTTCGGATGACTGAGTTCAGGAGATCAGAATAGGTTATCTAGTGTGTTCCCGTAAAACCAACAAAAAGATACAGATCTTTTAAAACATATATATATATATACACCCCCATCCGTCAAGTCCAAAATGTGTAGGTTCCCCAGAACCATACACCCACCGTCAAGTCCAGTAGGCCCTGAGCACACAGCCGAGGAGCCGGTAAGTAAGGCCCTGAGCACACAGCCGAGGAGCCTCCAGGTATACTTCCTCCAACATTACCCCCAAGTAAAACATGTTCCGTTCGTAAACGGATATATCAAAAATCATAACATAATCCAGGTCAAGTATCCGATCAGAATCCAGGTCATGTATCCGATCAGAATCCAGGTCAGGTATTATAATATAAATCAAATCGGAAATCAGGTAAAATATCCAGGTGATTAGGGAACACGCCAGAGTTTACATGTATTATTTAGAGGTACTATCAGGCAGAGAAACACAGTTCTTCAGTATGTGATAGAATGTTGGAATTTAGAATCACTATTGGAAGAGTTTAGTAACTGATAGAATCATCAGTTATTCAGAATGTGAATTATCAGGATCATATCTTATTCGGACAGTTTTCAGAAGCTGTACGTAATCAGAAGGGTATTCAGAATCCTTTACATCCATGTCAATTGATCGGATAATCGAACAACTTGAGAACGAAGATTCAGAACCTTAACAATCTATGTCGACTGGTCAATTCATTTTCCTTCTAGGGTATTTACTCTTTAATACCACAAATTCTTGTCCATAGATCATCTTCAGAATCATCGCTGAATAGATATTCCAATGGTCTTTATTTCATTTCCAAGGTTCCACTATATCATGAAATACTGACGTGCTTGATTTGTAGTTCATGTTCCATAAGGGCGATACATCATGTAAATTCATCCGAATTTCCAGGTTTAACCTAATCACTTACTTAATCCTCAATCATTGAAGTTACTTAGTTCATTTAGCATCCAAGTCCCTTCCAGTTACTTCAGGATTTTCCAGAGCAATACAACGTTCCTGTATTTCAGATATATATTGTACTTCAGATCCATTCAATTTGGCCTTCTTGGTTGATCTGTCGAACAAACGTCCAATTCTTAATACTGAATGCGATCTAGAATTGAGCTGAGCAGAATACTTCCAAAATTATTATCGAGCTAAACTTAAGAAGACGAACATGCATTCAAGTAATATCTATGTCGTTCAGGTACTGACATATCATTAAAGTTGATCGACTTACTTAATCTGTGTTCCATAACTTTTAAAAGGTAGTCCAATACCTATGCTTATTTGGATTCCTTAATTAATCCAAGGCATTTACTTAGAATAGGACATAAGGGTATTTTGGTAATTTTAGTGTTCATTTTTATTCCATTTATTTCAGAGCTCGAAGATATCTAATCATTCTTGAGCTTGGTGGTATTCTTGGGTCATTTTCACTATAGGGGTATTTTGGTCATTTTACAACAGTGTATTTCAATCTTTTCCTTTCTTCTGATCTTACTATTAAATTCAATCTTATCATTTATTTCAGTCCTTTCAAACAATTCTGACAACAGAATACCCCCGACAAATTGTTCTTTAGGTATTTACTCATAACTCGGATATTTCCGGGTCAAGTGCCTTCTCAGATTTTACAAACGGAATATCAGGAATTTTCCTACACTAAGTCAGGATCTTAACAATCAAATCCGTACTTAATCGAGTTAAGTACAAATCCTCAAAGTATTTTCTCATTCAGGGTCAACTCGAACTATTTTACCTTTCAAGGGCATTTCCGTAATTTCTTAACCAGATGATTTCGATATTAGCTCTTAACGAAAATAATATAATTTAGAGATCCTATGATTAATTGCTATCTTGAACACTCTCTGATCTTGAAACGGTTCTCTTAACAAACTTCTAGTATCATTCACAAACTCTCATAGGATTAAAACCGGTTATCCATAATTTTCAAATAAAACTAACATTTCTTATGCACATTTGTAATTATATCAGATCAATATGTTCTTTCAGAGTTATTAACCAACTTCCAGGGATAATTCTTAACATCCTACAACATAAGGGTATTTTCATAATTTTACCCTACCGAAGTATTCTCATAATTTCTCATCCAATACCTTTAACATTTAACCTTTGATGATATAAAATATAAGTTACAAATCCAGGGTTGATTTCTTTATCACCAATCACAAACTTGTAATTTAATTCTAACAATTCCTTAATCTCTTATAATAGTCATCTGAGCCATATTCAGTTACCTACTTGCTACCGTATTCGTATCAAATGTAGATCTTTATTAATTACACATATGAGACAAAACATTTTCATTCATGCATTTACCAATAACAACATGTTCTATAAAGCATAAAAAGGTAGTAAAGTATTACCTTGATTTCCGTGCAATACTGATCGACCATAAAAAATTCCATTCGAACGCCTTTGATCTTCAATTCAGCTTCCAATAATTCCTCATATACATATCAACATAAATTATATAAAAAACGGAGCTTAATTACGATAAACGGATCGAATCAGGTGATAAATCAGATAAAAATAGCTTACCGGGTTCGAATTTGGCGAAACGGACTTCGGATTCAGATTCAGGACGTCGAAAGCATAAAATATGACTTTTCGAAAATTTGGAATTTTCGGTCAAAATCAAAGTCAACGGGTTTGACTGGTAATTTTGAGGCCTTCGGGTTCAAATTTCGAGAAACAGACTAGTGAATCGGATTTGGAACGTCGAAAAATATCAGGATAGGTATACTCGGTCAAAGTCAAAGGTCGTTTAATACCCGGTCAAAGTTTTGGTCAACAATGGTCAACGCCAGTCAGTGGTCAACGGGTCGGGTCGGGTCAACGGGTTGGGTTAACGGGTCGGGTTGTGACCGGTCAAACCGGTCAAAACAGTTCCAAAACCGATTCACCTCCTCACGCGCCACCGTCGACGGAGACCAAGGATGACACCGGCAGACTCGCAACGATGCAAGGAACACGATGGTGCGGGAGGTGTCGTAAACGGATGCTCGGATCGTCATGAATCGACGAAAAACCAATTGAAATGAGTTATTACCGACGATACTTTCGACTGAAATTAACGACGAACGGCGACGATTCACGACAAAAGCTTTGAGGGGGGTTTTGTTCCTCGCTCGACAACGAACACGATGTTGGTTTCGGCTTGTCGATCGGAGGTCGTACGGCGAGTAGATCGGAGTTGAAAGTTGGTTGATTGGAGAGGGAAAACTGGAAAAATTTTCCAGAAACATACGGGAATGGGGGTTTATATCATCTCATAAATAAAAATGGTTAAATCAAGAGTTTAGTCATTGAACTTCCTGCACTTCATAAAACGGTCTGCCAACTTTAAAATTTTATAATTTAACCCACTGTTTCTTTCAAAATACCAAATTAAATCCATCACTTTATAATTTCTAAATCTTAGCCCCTAAATTGGGGTGCTATAATTCTCCCCTCCTTAAAAGAATTTCGTCCCCGAAATTCATTCGTGTCACATAATTGCATAAATCTAGG